TCCAGGCTGCGAAGGACAGGCACGGTCCCGCAGGGGTGCTGTGGACAGAAAGCATGGGTGTGGTTACGTCTCGTGAAGGCCACCTTCCTGGCTCATCCACGGGAAGGAGCGCAAGCAGGTGCACTTTCCAGAGCGTGGGAGGGAGGGAGGCAGGTGGTGATCTGGAGGTGTGCGAGCACTCAGAGGCCTGGCGGAAGAAAGGCCTGGCGAGTCCTCCGCCACTAAGAGTGCCCATCCCCCCACCCAGCTCTTTATTTAGCATACTGAAGCCGTGTATGGTACATGAACTACCAGTCAAGTTAACGGTTAAAACAGAAATGAGAAACGAAACACCCACAAACACACCCTACGGTGGCCAGGGATGGGATGTGTGGCTAATTCAGTGCCTTCATGCACACCTGTCTCCTTTGCCCCCAGGGCCGGGCCATTTTAAATAAAGATTCTACAGGGGGACCCCTGGTCAAAAGTGGGGAAGAAAACAGAACAGGATGTCAAATTCTTGCCAAATCCAGACATTTTGGAGCCAAGGAGGCTGGATGGACCCCTGAAATTGGTACTCTAAGCTCATCTTCAAACCTTAAGCCAAAAGCACCCCCTGAAATCCTCTTAAAACCATAGAGCAATCCCTCGTTACTGTGAAAATGCCTGTCTCACACCAGGGGCTTTTTACACAACCCTCAGAGCGGAGACCGGCAACTCAAAAGGGTAGATAAGCTGCCGGGGCGGCCCTGAGTTTGTGTTGGGGGGAGTAGGAGGGAAACTTCGGGAGAGGCGGCCGGGGCTCCTTGTGCCGGGCGCGGCTGGAATGCTGGAAGCGATGCCACCGGGATTGCAAACAGACGGCGGGTCGCCCAGCACAGGCCGGTTTCGGTGGAGCTGACGGACTCAGACGGACTGTGGGATTGTTCTCAACGACCAGGAAACCCCGGGGAGCCCGACTCGACTGACTCAAACAGGGCGCGCTGCAGGACAGCAGCCCCCCAAGGTCTTTGCTCGGCGTCTGCGTCTGCGCCTGCGCCTGGGCCACCAGGGCCCCGGCCGTGTCCAGTGCCCAGGCCGGGGTGGCGTCCGCTGGTGGCTGAGGCTCTGACGCTGCGTGCGGGTCCTCGGGTTACAGATGGACACAGAACCGGAGAGTTTAAAGAGAAGTTAAAAACAAAGGCTGCAGGGGGAAAATTCCAGAAGTGGAGCAGTGGCCGCTCAGAGGAGCTAGTAAGGCCGTTGGCTCCTGCTTGCCCTTTACAAACGTTTCCGAGAAAGCACGGGAGCGAAGAGCCCGGGAGCACGCGCGCCCGTCAATGCGCGCTGTGCGTGCACGCGGCGACCAAGACTGACCGGCACGGCCCGGTGCGGCATGAAGCGTCTGGGGAAGCGAGGGCAGGCACGGCGGGGCTGGCACCTCCGGGAAGCGGCCCAGGCGGCGGGGTACCCTGCTCCGAGAGCATCAACCCGGGGCGGGAGCACAGGGGCAGGCGGACAGGCTCTGGATGGCGGGGCGGGCACTCACAGCGTCACTCCTGCTGCTCGTCGTTGCTGGCACTGGGGGTCCGACTGCGGACCTGGTTCCGGCGGAGCTGCTCTATCAGCTCGGGGTTCTGCTGTTGCATGTGCTGCGCAAACTGCTGGCCACTGGGGAACGGGACGCGGGTTGGCGCTGTTCCCTGCTCCTTCCCTCGCACCCACTGCAAATGCCCCACACCTGACTCCCCCACCAACAATCAGCAGGCCACTGCTAGGTAACCTGGTGCTGGCCTAACAGGTCACAGAAGACCGTGTCAAGCCCGATGCCAAGGCAACATGATTCCCCCCCACCCCAAGCTCTGGGATCACAGCCCCACAACCCAGCATGCAATGTAATCATGTAGTGGCGCCCCCCCTTCTCCTCTCCTAGGGTCTCCTGCCTCAACACTGCCACTGCCGTGTAGCCTTGTCTTTATCATCTAACAGGGTGGTGTTCCTGTGCACAGCAGCCCAGGACCCTCCCTCGGCCCCCCACCCCTACCCCACCGAGCGGGCTACTCACGCCTGGATGAGGCTGGCCAGGTCATTCTGAGAGGGGCTGGTTCCAGAGGTCCCCAGGGGGTTGTGGCTGCCGGAGATCACCCCAGACATGCTGCAGGGGGGTTATGGGTCAGTAGGTGCCCCCCGCCCTGGTGGACTCACCAGGGGTGATGCTGTCCCCAGGATATCTGTCCCAAGTTCAATCCCTACCTCATCCCATTCACCAGGACAAACTCCCAAAGGGCCAGACAGCTCTGACCAGGCAACACCGCCCCCCAGCCCCCTCCCCTCTCCTGCTGGCTGTGTGCATCACAATGTGGGCAGCGTCCTAGGGCATCAGGAAGTCAGGTGATCATGGGACAATCTCTCAGGGTCAGTGGAAGCCCCTAGCCCAGGAGTCCTCACCAGAGCCAAGTCTGACCCCAGGAGCACTGGGTGCTATCTAGGGGGTGCCGCCGGCATGGAGTGGGTGGAGGCCAGGGATCCTAGTCGACACCCCACATGTTCTAGGGGTGCTGAGAGGGTACGAAACTTACAGCTGCTGGACCTGAGGGTTGTTCATGAGGTTTGAAGCCTGGGGGACAGAAGAAGTGTTATCAGGAAAGCGGTGCGTCAGCTCTGGACGCCCGTCTTTCCCTCTGTGCATGAGCCGTGGTCCTCGCCCATCACCACTCCGGGTGTCACCGTTTCCTCATTGCGACTTGGCTTTCACCAGTGTAGCGTCAGCGTTATGTAGTATGTTTGGGTTCGTTGAAGCCCTTGTCTACGCTAAGGCTATTCCGTGGGTCTCCCCGGTTCCCTGCCATCAGTAAATGATGGGCACCTCCGGCAGCAGCCTTGCACAGTCGGATAGTGTGCTTGGGGAGGAGCTCAGCTCTGCACCTACAGCTGCACGGGGGACGTGGCAACTTGTGCGCGGTGGGTGTGGCGATGTGCTAACAAAGCTTTATTTACAAACACGAAGTGGGTCACCGACCTAATCAGGTCAAATCGAATGCTCCTTGTAAGGCCAGGCCACTCACCTCCTTGGGACTGCTTCCTGAAGGTCACAACTAGGGGACCTGCTACTGAAGGCGGTCCGTCGTACCTGAGAGTGCAGGCCCGGGCCCTCTCAGTCTCCACGTCACAACCCAAGCGGGGGTGGCCGTTGGGGGCGGAGGGGGTGGGGGTGTCTGTGTCTGTGTCTGTGTCTGTACAGGGTTGGCCTGGGTGAGTGGGTCCAGAGAAACCCGACTTGGTGGTCTGCTGTGGCATCCTGACTGCTATTGGCACGGTGTGGGTGGAGGTCAGGAGTGCTGCACCAGCACCCCACAGGGCACAGGACGGTCAGCCCACCCCACTGTCCGCAGGGCAGAGGGAGAGCAGCTTTGTTAAACATGTGGGGGGAAAAGCTGAGTTCAACCCTACCTCACACTAAAAATAAGGTAAATGGGGGACTCTCTGGCTCCCATGATCCTTCTGCTCCCTCTCACCTATTGGAGGTCAAAGTCCTAATCCTGGGGTCCTCACCCAGGGTGACTCTGCTCCCAGGAGACACTGAGTGATGTCTGGGAACATTTTTTGCCACTATCCAGTGGGGAATTCTACTGCATCAAGTGTAGGGAGCCCAGGGGATGCTGCTCAGCATCCCACAGCACACAGGGTGCCTGCTCAGCATCCCACAGCACACAGGGTGCCTGCTCAGCATCCCACATCACACAGCATCCCAAAGCACACAGGATGCCCGCCTGCCCGAGAGGATACGGTCCTGTGTCAGCAGTACTCTGGGGGAAGGCACAGCAGGCTCAGTCCTAGACAAAAACAGTCACGGGACCATCTGACGTGCTGTAGTATAAGGGGTGTACATAGGGCGTGTGTGTATGTGCACGTGCACGCGTGTGCGAGCACTGTGTGGAGATGTGTGTGCATGAGCTGTAGGATATGTGTGGTGTGGCGCATGTCAGTATGTAGCGTGTTCGATGGCTGTGTGTGTGTGTGTGTGTGTGAGGCACCATGAGTTTCTTCAGAAACTGGCCCATGTCAAAGGTTCCCCCCATCTGTGTAAATGTGTGAAAGGTGAGTGGGGGTGTATGAGCGGTATGTGTGTGGGTGTACATGTGGTGTGTGAGGGGCATAAGTGTGGGTGACCCATGTTGAAGGTGCCCAACCCCATCTGTGTACACGTGTAAGGTATGTGTGTGAGGGCATCCTTACCATGCTCATGAAGCCTGGGTTGTTAAGCAGGCCGGCGATGTCAAAGGTGGCCCCGGTCTGTGTGGGCAAGAACAAGCAGCGCCTGGTTAGCTGCCCTGGACAGCAGAGCTGGCCACTCCTTGCCCACCAGAGAGGTCCCCAGGCCCCTCACCGGGCTGGGTGCCTCCCTGAGCTTCAGCTCCGCGATCTTGAGGTTTGACTTGTAGCTCTCGTTGTCCGGATCCAGCTCCAGGGCCTTCTTGTAGTGGGTCACAGCTTCCGCGTGCTTGTTCAGGCTGGACAGGGCCAGGCTGTGGGGATGCCAGTGGGGCGGGGCCTGACACTTGGGAAACACTTGGGATCCCCCTCCCACTGCCAAGGCAGCAGCAGGCTGGGGATTCAGGTGGGGGCTAAGACACGGGCTGGACCAGGGCACCCTCTCTACTGCCCAACTGTCCAATCCCTCTTTCCTCACCGGGTGGACACAGTCTTGGGTGCAGGATAGCACCTGAGGGTCATTTGGAGGAGCTGGTTCAGGGGCAGGGGGCCCAGCCGTGTGCTCACCCCATGCGGCCATAGGCTTTGCTGTAGGACGGGTCTATACAGATGGCACGCTCACAGTCCTGCACAGCCCCCGTGTAGTTCCCCAGCTTGCTGTAGGCCGCGGCCCTGCAGGGACAGTGCAGTGTAGCTCCTCAGCGGGGCGCCAAGGGACAGGTGCCCAAGGGAAGCTTTGAGGGAAGGGCATGACCCTCGGCCTCCCGCCTGTCTGTGTGCACTGGTAGTCCTGCGCCCGTAACGCTGGAAGCCCTGCCACGGGGACTTCACGGCCCAGCAGCGTCACCTAGGGTCCAGACCAAGACAACCCAAGCAGCCCTGGAGACCTATGTCTCAGCGTCAGCCAGTGAACACGGAGCCCG